TGATCTGGGGTGTGAAGACTGTCCTTTTGATGACTTGTTTCTGAAATGAGTGATTCAACAATTCCAACTGCTGGCACGCCAGCCCTGGGAAATGGGTGTTGGGGCCGCTGCACAGCGAGTGCGCTCTGGAAATGTTTCTGCTGTCTTCACAAACTCCCATAAAAATAGACAGCCGGGGACAGCCGACGGCACTCCCAGGCAGGAGTATGAGGCCCAGGCCGCCTTCTGTCAACAATTGCATGCCATTTCAAAAGACTACAGGTTTTTTTAATATTCTAAAACATTGTTTATGGGAGAATATCAAGTGTCCCCAGGCTCACTTCTGGTCTTCTCATCGCATGTTGTAACCTAGTTAATTATATCTTCAAAAATGTTTGAGCTTTGAAAGGCGGAGTACCTGATACATCGAGTGGGCTTCAGGGTTCCTGAAACGTTGTCTGAGGGCCATGCTGTTTTCTCAGCTTGTGAAGCCACAGGAGTAGGGACTGTGGAAGAAGACAGATCCAAGGGAGTCAAGCAGGGTTAGTCAACAACTTGGTATTTTGGAATATTCTGGAAAGATGCGAAATTGACCCCCGCCCCCGACTATTCCTGGGTCTGCTGATACCACAATTTTTCCCAGAGAGCACTTCCGTCTTGTTCCTGAGGGAAATACTAGTTGGGAGCGCCAGTATGAAGGTGCTAGACCTAGAAGACTGACAGAGTCCATGGTGGCCATTCGGATTCTTGGCTGTAAGGGCCAGCATGGCCTCCCAAGAAGTGTTGCTGATTACCTACGGAGTCACTTCTTTTTAACCAGCCTGTCTCTCTGCTCCCCCTCTCAGTGATGCTTAGAGGGTGACCTCCTTGGAGGACAGGGAACCTCCGACTGGAGAGCGCCTCAGGTTTTGGAGAAAAGCTTCGCTGTTGGGGAAAGGAGACAGGAAGACACAGAGTGAGATTAGGGTCCTGATGCGGGGCTTACCTAGAAGAGCCTTGCTGGTGCACAGGTGTGGATGTCTGAGGAGGCCACTGCACTCTCGTTGGATCTTGATGCCCCAAGAAGTAAAAGACCAACCCCAGAACCTAGGCAGTTTGGGCTCCCGCACCCCCAGAGATCTCCTGGGTTCTACTAAAGAAGTGAGAGAAAGCCTTCTGATTGCAGCCCTCAGGGCAGTGGAGATGGGACGTTCCTCACCGTCCGATTGATTTGGAAAGCCCCACTGGCCTTTGGAAAGGCTCACTTAGAGCTTTCCAGCCCTGGTCATTACTTTCTTTCCCTTTTTCCTATTTTCCCTTCCAAATGATTGAGTACTCTTTAAGCTAAGGAACATCTGAGTTATAATTTGTGCGTTTTCCTCCCTCAACCAAAATTTTTTTTATCAGTAACTCTACACATATAAGTGAACACAAAGAGCAGTGAATGTGAAACTGCGCCCCAGACCACTGGTAACTTTTGGATGGAGGTTCCGGAGCACACGGACCTTGTGGGCGTATGTGACTGAGGCCGCACGGGGAGCCCTCTAGAGGCAGGGGTGAGCAAGACGGTAACAAGTCGGGAAAATAAGGGGACCCACACTGGGACAGGACATTTATTTCTCTCCCGTTTTCCATCGTTGTGTCTTTTACTAAACTTTTTGGTAGACTTTCTCAACTTCATTTTTCTGTTTTGATTTTTTTTGGTCTTTTTGCGACAGGGTCTCGCTATGCAGTTCAGGCTGGCCTTAAGCTTACTTTGTAGCTCAGACTGGCCCCAAACTCTCAAGAATCCTCCTGCCTCAGCCTCCCAAGTGCTGGGATTATGGATGTGCACCACCACATCCCGCTCTTCGTTTTTGTTTTTGGTACTGGGGGTTGAGCTGTGTCCCAGGCCTCGTTTTCAGTCTGAGACAGGTTCCTCAGCCCAGTGAGACCATAGTTCCTGCCTGAGCCGATCCTGCACTGCTTCGAGCGGTCATAGCTAAGAGTGGCTCCCACCCAGTCTCACTTTGTTCTAGGGGCAGAGCCTCTCTGGGTTTTGCCTGATTTTAGTTGATCTCCACTACCTCAAGGATGTTGTTTTTTATATTTTTCACAGAGTTTACTGGCCAGAGGCTTAGTGCAATGTAAACTAGCCTACCATTGTAGGAAGCAGAATTCCTCAGTTCTTCCCCCTTTAGTTCCGGTAGGAGAAATAACGTACTATTTATGTTTCATGGATACTGTGTCTTTTTTTTTTTTTTCTGGTACCAGAAATCAAACTCAGGACCTTGTGCCAGGCAGCAGCTGTGCCACTGAGCCGCATTCCTGGCCCTTGGGTACTGTATCTTTAGTACTTCTCTGAGGATATGATCAGTTCTTTTTTTAAAGTTTTCTTCCCCAAGAATAGTCCAGTTTGCATTCTTCTGTTTACTTATTTTGATCTGAAGCATTTGTTTGTGTTAGAGGGTTTTCCTGATGACTTCTCCTCTGTAACAAAGTTGAAGAGTAGGAGGCTGGACGTCAGGGTGAGAGCTGTGTGCTAGAGCCTGTGCATGGTGCAGTTCACAGTTGTGACCCGGGTGAGCTGGTGATCGGTAGCCCCAGGTTTCTTAGCAGCTTCTCGGGTTCCCTGGAGACATGCAGAGGGTGAAGGTTGGGCTACCTGTGCTCTGGGGGCTCACATTCAGCAGGCAGATGGTCCCTTGGTCCCTCTCGTTGGGAATTGGCCGTCCTGTCCTCAAATGTGCTGGATGCCTGGTGTCCTGGGGCCGTCAGTTTTGTTCCCTTTGGAGAGTGAACGTCCGGACTGCTGGGAGGTGGGCAGTACACAGGAGTTTGGAGCTGGGAAAGTTCTGGGCTGCTCTTCAGCCTCAGCTCATGGGTTTTGCTTCAGTTCCCCGCCCCTGCTCTCACAGGTACCTGCTGACCTCTCCAGAGCCCATTGGAGATTCTCTGGACAAATTGGGCTCTTGGCTTTCCACACTGCCACTCTCCAGTCCCCATTTTTTTGTTTGTTTGTTTTTTTTGTTTTTCTTCCTGTACCGGGAATTGAACTCACGACCTTGCGTTTTCCAGGCAGGTGCTGTGCCGCTGTGCTCAATCCCCAACCCCTCAAGTCCCCATTTCTTAAGTACATAATCCGTTATCACTTCCTATGTGCTTTCCAGCCTCAAATCCTGAAGGTGGTTTCTTCTCTGACTGTCGGAAGGGAAGGCAGCAAACTCAGAAGCTAACAGCTGGAAACCTTAAGAGGTTGCTTCACTGCGTTAGTTGATTAGGTCGCAGCGTCTCCAAGTCCATGGAATTCAAGTACTTCAGGGCAGTCAAAGCAATAGGGAGCATTTTGCCAACAAACCAAAACAAACCGAAATGCTTCCGAATTAGGGATAGTACATGCAATAGTGGTGAATGTAGATTAGTGCATTTAAGGATAAATGAAGATAAATGATTTGGGTTACACTGTGCTGCAGGAGGAGGCTGGGAATCCATGTAGACCTTGTCCTGGGGCCCTTGCTGGGGGCTTTGTCTCTGGGATGCCATGGATGGCTCTTGTATTTTATCTCAAGGAAATGAAGTAGGGCCGGGGAAGAGTGAAGTGATAGCTTCCCAAGGACAGGTGGTAAGCGCTGGGAGTCTTCAGCTGGGATGCAAAGAGGTGCGTGTGTAACTAACACCGCTGCCAGGGTGGAGAAGGTGGGCACCAGGTCCTGAGCTGCCTGGGTAGGGGGTTGCTTTAGAAAGTGGAGCCCGTAAATTTAGCACAAATTTGCTATGGTAGGCCAGAAGCTTGGGAAACTATTACAACTAGTTCCTCTAGCATTCTGTTTAATTCTCTAGGCATTTGGAGAAATGTATCACAGAGAACCCCCTCTCCCCAGAGACACAGAGCAGGCGGGGAGCTGATGATGCTGACGCGTACATAACCTTTAACATAGACACTGAAGGGCACAGTATGCTAAGATGCTCTTACTGTTGGAAATAAGAGCTGTTGGAAGAACACTGGGCTACATGGAAGACAGGAAGCTTGGTATATAAGGAAGAACCTGACCTGAATTAAGAAGATCCGGGTTCAGATCCTGACTCCTCAGCTAACTCACTGTGCCTCTGAGCAAGTTCCTAGTGTTTCTGATCCTCCCAAGGTTCTGCTGCAGGTTAAATAAGGCAGTCCTATAACCTGCAAAAGGATCAATAAGGCAGAAGTGTGTTGATTCCTAAACTGAATTTGAGTCTTTAACACGTATTTGCTGAGCCCACACCAAATACCAGGCTGTGTACATGTCCCTTCCCGGTTCCAGCAAGGCTTACGAAGTGAAGGCACAGCTCTGCCCCGTCCTGCAGCCCTCCCTCAGGATGGTACAAGGTTGTGCAGGTGAGCGTCCCCGGGTCCTTTCCTGGCTGCAGGTGCACGGTGGGAGAGAATGTCTGAGCATCTGACCCTGTCTTAGCAAAGATCCCCTCCCTCCCAGCTTCCTTCCAAATAAAGGAAGAGAAAGGTCTCACAACTGCTGCGCGGCCCATAATGGGGGCGACATGGTTTGCAGTGCATGGCTGCGTTTTGTTTGCTCGTTTCTCTCGAAAGCGTGGGGAGGTGGAGGACACAGGAGTGGCGCTGTGAGTCTGGAGGACGGAAGTTCACTCCTCTGCGACAGAAAGTGTGTTTGTTCACAGCCCACGAGAACCTGTCGAGATGATCAGTCCTGGCCCTGCCTCCTCCCGGCCGCTCATGCTCCGCACTGCTTCGTGTCAGGCGGGGAAGTTCCAGGAGGTCTGCTGCTAAGCGTGGAAGTGCTTGCCTGGCGTCCTGTGTGCCTGGCCTGCAGCTGCTCCCCTCCCCACCCCAAATCCGGCTTTTTAGGGCTCCTCAGTACGACTCAGGTGCTCTCTTCACCTGTCTGAGCTTCCCCCTTGGTCCAGTCTTAAACACCATCACGAGCTTTGATTTGAATGAGCGCCTGACCGCCTCACCCTGAAGCTGGCGGTGTTGGTGGGAGGGCTCTCCTGTCTGCTCTCTTCTCCTTCGGAGCTCCTTTAACCATCATCTCGTGTCTTCCCTTTGCCAGAACTCACGTGCTGTGTGTCAGACTGAGCTCCCCCCGTTGCACCCCGCCGTCCAGACTCGATGCCGTCCTGCTGATGTTCACAGCTGTGCCTGGGAAGGAGGCAGCCCGTTGGCGGGGACCTCCCTGTGCCCTGCTGGGCAGGGAAGGACCTGTAGGCGTACACCTTGTGCATCCGCGCCTCCATGTGTGGACCTCGCTGCGCTTCCCCCTCCGAGACCTCGCTGTCGCTGTCCGGGAGCAGAGCTGCCTGAGCACCAAGGGGAGGGGAGCCACGCCACCCCTCGCTGCTTTTCAGGGTCCCACTCCCTGGAGTGGCGGTCTGCATGCGTCATGCTCTGCTTTGTGCTGTGTAATTATGTACAGGAGGGACACGGCACCCGTCTGAGTGGATGCTTCCTAAGAAACGTGCCAGTGTTTACGCAGTCCTTGGTGTTCCCTGTCTCTGCTGTTACTGTCTCAGCTTCCCCCATAGGCTGCTTTTTCCGCACAGGGGAAGTTTTACTCCAGCCCTGCCGCGTCCTGCCCTCCACCCTGCCCTCTGTATGCAGCTGCCTGGCTCTGAAGGGAAGGGAGCTCATGCACCCGTGGGCTGTGAGGGAAGGATCGCCTGCAGCCTGCGGGCTCTTCTCAGCGTCTCCGTCACTAGAGAGAGGCGGTGTCCTGCTCCGCTCCGCGTGGTCCCCCAACAGCTCCAAGGAGAGCAGCTGTTCAGTGCGCCAGGCGTGCATCTCACTGTGACAAAGCCATTTGCTTATGGCCCTGCTTCCTTACAGACAAGCCGGCTAATGCGGAGCCATCTCCAGGCGGGGCCTCCAGCAGGATGCAGATCACCCCAGTTTATTTTAAGCAGATAGACAAGACCGTTGGTGTCAGCAGGGCTAGTGAGAGAACCAGGATTACGAGCGTGAGCGTGCGGATGCCCGTGCTCCCTACCCCTCTGGCCCTGTATTTCTGCGAGCAAATGTGCCTAGGCCCAGAGCCCCCCGTTTGATTGGTATGGGCTCCTCCTGCCTGCCCTGGCACCAGCCCTTGGGGACATTCCAGCTGGTCACAGAGCTGCGGGTGTCAGAGCAACTCAGTACCCGGTTAGTTCCTGAGCAGACTGAGCCCGGCCACTTCCCTCTCTTGGCGGGCACAGGCTGCCGGGCACAGGGTCTCAGCCCGTGAAAGACAACTGGCACCTGACCACCACCACCCTGCCTTCTCAGACAGCAGCCGGGTGGCCAGTGAGGCGCCCCGGACGGGCTGTTGCAGAGCAGAGTGGCCACAGTTGTATTGCCCCTCCTCCCAGGAACAGTGAGAGAGCACGAAACGATGCTCATGTCCCCCAAGGCGGGCTCAGCCCAGCAGAGAGCGGGATGTGTGTCTGAGGACTGGTGTCGGGTGCAGGCTGCCTGGTCCTTTCGCGGTTGTGCAGTCACCTTGGCTCATCTGAGGAGCAGCTTTTCATCTTAGCCTTCCGTGCAGTTGACGGGGCAGGGGTGTTCTCCCCACTGCTGTCTCTGGGAGCTGTCCTGGTCTTGGCTTGGGGCCCCCGAGGGTGGGACTGTGACAGGGGTGTGCTGTGAGAGACACGGGGAGGTGGCAGGTACTTCCCAGAGGGGTCCCTTCCACAAAGACCCCAGAAGAAGAGGCAGCTGGCCCCTGGGGTGTTTATCCTCTGAAGAAAAAGGGGAGCCAGGGCCTGGTCTGTGCCCGCCTGGGCCCCTGCCCTGTGGTCACGGACAGACGGGGAGGTGACTGCCTGTTCACTGCCCTCTCCCGACTCCCACCACACGGTGTGTGCTGGCCCTAGGAACAGCTGGCCCCGTCCCCTGGAGCGCATGCTGCTGTCTGCACCCCTCTCCCTGTGCGGGGAGACCTTTCACCCAGGCCCAGGCGATCTGGGGTCAGGCCAGAGGAGGAGCGGCGACGTCACTCCCGCCCCATTCACAGTTAGCTTCGGGAAACATGCAGCTCGTTTGGAGCTACTCATGCCAGCAAGGCCGTCCCTCGCCTTGTTAGTAGGAAGGAGCTCTTGGTTTTGCAGGTCCAGCCCCTGGAAGGTGACGTGGCAGAGATCTCATGTTCTTGTTTCGTCTCCGGAAAGCTCTCAGGAGGCCTTGCAGTGGAACTGTCCGGGAAATAGCAGCAGCTGCCAAGGGGCCCCGTTCCTTGCCTTTGGCCATCTGAGCACCTGGTGCTGGAGGACTTTCCCGTGAGTCATGCCCTTTCTGGAGCTGTGACGAGGGGCCAGTGTGTCAGTGGAGGGGCTATGAGGGAGGGAACCAGGGTCACCATGGTACAGCGAGTGTGCGTGGACACGCGCAGTGCTCTGCACAGCCCGAGTCACATGTGCCTTGGCTCGGGGCTTCCTGTGTGAGGACACGAGCTCTGCAACATCTCCTGTGTCGTTCAGTCATTGCCGCCACCCCTGACGTCCCGAAAGAGGATGGCAGGCAGGAGACTACTGCTGGAACCTCTTGCGGTTCTACCTTTCCCACAGACTGGGGCCCAGCCAGGAAGCAGGAACCACAGTATGTATTTAAATCGAGCAGTTTTAAGCCAGAGATTTGTTTGTCACAGAACAAGGGCTGAAATGGGAGCTGAGGCAACCTAGAGGTTGCCAGGGAGCTGCCAGCATCCCTAGGCGACCTGGACAGAGGGAGGAGGTCATGTTACCAGAGGCCAGAGCCGCAGGCCGCCAGGTGGGGCCTAGGGCCACGGAGGCCCCTCTGGTAGGACCTGGAGCCATAAGGAGGCAGAGTCCCTGTCAGAAACACCCCCAGGCCGAGAGGGGGAGACAGCTGACCTCCCTCTTCCTCTTGGCTTTTTAGCTGATGCACGGCCCCCGGGCCTGGGACAGCCGCTTTCAGGGTCTGCCCAGCGCGCAGCAGGGGGTGGAGGGGGCATGCGAGCCCTGGCCTTGCCCTGCTCTGTGTCCTGTCTGAGTCTGGTGCTTTTTGCTCCTGTCCAGAGATCCTGCTAAGGGAGACAGGATCGGGCCCCTCGGGGTTTCCCAGAGAGGAAAGTGCTTTGGGAGGGAGGGGGAGCATTTTTCCTTCGCGCGTCTTCCTGCTGTCCCTCAGGAACGCCATGTCCTGCTTTTCTGTGTAGCCCTCTGTCCCTCTCTTGAGCATCTCCTGTTTTCCTGGCCAGTGGTCACTGTCCCCGAGCACGCCTCAGTGCCCGGAGCGCTTCCCCAGGTTGGCGGGTTCCAGCGTGGTCTCCGTGTGGACTCTCTGTACAAAGATGCTGTCTACTAATCAGTTTGTATCGTGTTTCCAATAAATTTCTGGAAATTCTGCCTGGTGTCAGGCTGTCCTTTGCTAAAACGGTGGCTCGGCTGGGAGCTCTGGCCCTGCACACCCCAGGAGGCCCTTGCCTCTATGCTCTGTCCCCTTCTCCACCCCCAGGGCAGTCGGGAGGTGACAGGCCAGGCCCGTTGGTCCATGTCCCCAGCCCAGCAGCCTTTCCTCAGGGACTGCATCTTCCTCTGTCTCATGGGCCATGACATGAGCATACAGAGGGCCGCCTAATAGATGACTTTTGAGCTTGTGCCCGTAGGCCTGGTAGTAAGAGGAGCAGCAGGCAGAGCTTTCCCCATTAACTGTCACTGAGGCCACGTCCTGAGGTGCTGCTGTGCCTCACACACGGCTTCCTTGTCACGCTATTTCTGTGGGTTCTGCCTCAGTTGGTGTGCTAGGGCTATTGCAGGAGAAGACGAGGTGTGGCTTGCCTGAGACCCCTCTATCCTTTGTATGAGACACTTGTATGCTGGGGTTTGAGAGAGTGGAAAACAAAAACCAAAAAGAAGACAGTGAGTTTCAAGTGTTCCCACGGAGAAGCTGGACATAACACGTTATATCAGTCACTTTCCTTTCTGGGGACAAAATACCTGACATACAACTCTGTGGAGGAGAGGGTTTCAGAGGTTTCAGTCCCTGGTTGGCCAGCTCCAAGCATTATGGTAGATGGGCAGGGCAGAGGAAAGCTGCTCTGCTCATGGCCCCCAGGAAGCAGAGTAAAAGAGAAGGAGCCAGAGAGGAAGAGGCCAGGGACTAGAAATAATCCGCAAAGTTGCTCCCCCCATAACCCACCTCGGCACATCCAGAACTAGACTAGCTAGACTACCACTACCACCACTCTTGGTCTGTCCCTCCAGCACATTATTTTTATACTACTAACGCGTGTGTGTGAATCCATAACCAATATGGAACATTTGTATGTATGTTACATTTTATGTAACAAATTGATAATGAAGATTAACCATCACACGTGTGAAGATTACTAGAGATGAGCAAATGTGATTGTGGCTGTTGTGGGATGTGTAGGAGTCTGGGATTGTGGAGAAGGGACAGATGAATCACGGTCAGGGAAGGTTTTGTTGAAGCTGAGGTTCCTAAGGGTGGACACAGCAGTCCCTTTGGAGAACCCCTGTGGGGCTGTGTGGTTACTGGGGTGTTCTCCTGAGGCCTGATAGTGCCTCGCTCTTTCTGGAGGCTTCTCTGCAGCTCAGTGTGGCGTGCCACCCCCAACGCTGAGTTCTCTGCCGGGGCTGCATTTTTATGGTCAGGCTTCGTAGGGAGCTGGTTCTCCCCTATCTGCTGCTGGGCAGCGGGATTCCCTGCAAGAACTCTTATAACCAGCAGAGGAGTGGGTGCTCAATTCTCCGTGCCCCTTTTGGCTCCTTTTATAGATTTTTTTTGGGAGCTTGTTTTTTAACTCCCAGAACCAGCTGTTCCAATTGTGTGTCATTCACCTGCTGAGAGTCAAGCCTCTCAAGAACCTGGCAAACTTCCTCCTGTCCACTCCAAGACCTGCTGCACTGCTGCCCTTCCCTCAGCAGAGGATGTGCCCTTCCACTTCTCGAAAACAGACCCTCCTGCCACCCAAAGGCTGGAAACGTCCCCCCGCCCCTTTTGAGCCTTGCAGTAGTGTGTCCTGGGTCAGGTTGGACTGCCACTTACTAGCTATGTGACTGTGGGCAAGTCACTCAACTTCTGTGCCTCAGTGTTTTCATCTGTAAGATGGGATAATAATAGTATCTACCTCCCAGGTCTAAGAAAGTTAGTAAGATTGAGATGCTTAGAACAGACCTTTGGTCATCACATTCTCACTTTCCACCATAGTCATCTCCTTTCCCTTCTCCTGCCACTGTATTCCAGTCTCGTGGTTCAATCCGGGGAGCCACCAAAACCTGTGCCCCCACACTTACCTTCACTGGCAACTTTACTGCAAGGGGGAAGAGCTGTCTCCATTTCTGCAAATCTCATTAATTCCTCAGCTCCTGGTCGTGCTCGCTGGCTCCGGCTCTGCCCTCCCCCAGCCACTCCCGGAAATCGCTGCCAGTCAAGTCTCTAATGACTGCTAATTGCCGAGGCCAGTGCTATTCTTAGCCGCCCTGTCTGAGCAGCCAGGCATTTGGAGCTGCGGTCACGTATTCCTCTCCTTCCTCCATCACCCACCCCCCAGCAATGCTAAGCACATTCAGAGCTTACTCTTAGCTATTTGTTCAGATGTTTTTACAAAGATAATTTCAGACACGGTAGCAGTCACCTGTGAGTCCCTCCCACTACCACCGCTCTTGGTCTGTCCCTCCAGAACATTACTTTTATACTACTAATGCATATGTGTGAACCCATAACCAATATGGGACATTTGTATGTTACGTTTTATGTAAATGATAACCTATCACTTTTTTTTTTTTTTTGTCTTTTTGAGACAGGGTCTCACTATGCAGTTCAGGCTGGCCTTGAATCCACTTTGTAGCCCAGGCTGTCCTCGAACTCACAATGATCCTCCTGCCTCAGCCTCCTGAGTGCTGGGATTACAGGCGTGCACCACCACGCCCGGCTAACCTATCACTTCTTGAAAAGCTTTGTTTTTTAAAGTAGTACTTTTCAGTGAACGCATTGTTAACCCAGTAGGGTGTCCATGGAGGATGCTTGACCAGACAGGGTAGAAGGTGCATTTGGGTTTTCAGACGGGCTTCCTTATAGCTAGGAATCACTTTTGAAAATGCCCGTCCACCTACTTGGGTCCAGCTTTGCCTTGCATGGCTCCTGGCCTGCAGCTGTGTCCAGCTGGCTGAGGCAACAGTTCAAGGAGTGACCTTGCCTCTCTGGGCCGGGGTCGGCCAGTCCTTACCCCTTGGCACTGCTCCCAGCAGCAGCCCCTCAGTCCTGGGAGGCACTTCCTTTGCAGCCTGACACACACAGGTCAGGGAGAGCTCTGCTGTTCACCGGGCCTTGCAGCCCCTCGCCCAGCAGGCCCAGCTGTGGTGGAGAGAATAGGGCCGGGAAGCAGCACAATCTGGGGCCCAGGATCATACTGGGGCAGGTGGAGGTCAGGGAGCTGTGGAAGAGCTGTAACCAGGGTGCTGCAGGTGTACAGCCGGAGGATGGCCACAGAAGCATGCCACAAGGGTGCTGGGCAGGAGGCAGGTGGCATAGATGGTCACCAGCACGGCCAGCATGCACACAGCCCTCATGGACGGCGCAGGACCCGGTGGGGAGTCTGATGCTCACGGTGACCAAGAGGATGGGAGCCGGTGGCAGTTAGCTCTGCAGCGTGTGCAGTGCCCGGGACCAGGGAGTGAGACTGAGCTTCGCTCTTCCTGTAACAAACCCGAGAGACTGGTATCAAACAAGCAGAGCCTCCGGGGTCAGCCTTCTGCCGCTGTGACAAAGCACCGGACATACACAGCTTAAAGGAAGAAAGGTTTCTTCTCGCTCGCTCCCTGGTGTGCTGGCTCTGTTGCTCTAGCTCTGTGGTGAGGCAGAAGCATCGTGGCAGAGAGATGTGGCACAGGAAGGCTGCTTGCCTCACAGCCGCCAGGAAGCAGCACAAGCAAGGAAGGGCCCGAGGAAAGTTAAACCCTTCAGAGTCACGCTGCAGTGGCCCACTTCCTCCCACCGCCCCGCTTCCGCAGGTTAACCCAGGGATGAGGTTAGTGACCTCAGGACTCAGCCACCTCTCTCGGGTCTCTTAGTCAGTCAAGCTGACAATCAAGATGAACCACTCCACCTTCGGCCGGCCTGAGAGAGCTGTGGTCAGAGGCCCAGCTCAGCGCACCGCCTTCAGGAAGCTGCTGAGCACACAGGCTGAGGGAGGGGGGATGGAGCAGGCTGATGCGGCAGGCGGTGGCCCTGAAGTTTCAGTCTCCTGGAGGAAGTGCTAGTTCACGCAAGGGGCCAGGCTGAAGATCAAGAGACAGTCAGCCATGACCAGGCCACCAGGCCCGCTGTGATGGACGTCCGGGCCGGGCGGGGAGGCAGAGGGTAAAGAGGGCCACCTGCTCCCCATCAGGCCCAGGGCAAACTCCGCACCCGGGACTGTGCCAAGAAGGCAGACAGTGGGGGAAGCCGTGGGAGGCAGGGAAGCCAGGCCTCTCCTGGGGGCCCCAGCACAGTGGTGAAGGCGGAGGGAGGGAGGAAGCTGCAGCGAGGAGCGGAGAGGTCAGGCTGGAAAATTCCCTGGGCTCTCGGGTCAGGGACCTGTGAGAGGATTCTGGAGCCTTAGCCCTGTGTGAGTGTTCAGGGAAGGTGAGATGAGCGTCCCCATCACTGGCCGCCACAGCGACTTGACACTTGGTTTTCATTGGTGAGGAAGACCCGGCGTTGATCCTGTAGCCCTCCCTCCACACGGGGGCTCCCCTCTGCCGTCATGTCCCTGGCAGAGGGGAGCAGGCTCAGTGGGGTAAGATGATGCTCAGGAATGGCTGACGTGGGAGGAGAGCCTGGCAGGGGTGAGGCGAGGATATTCACTGGCCCGGGTGCTCAGGTGTTAACTTCCTGAAGGCTGGAGCTGGTCCCAGCGACCTGGCTCTCAGGGTCACGCACTCTTATGTGTAGGGGCCGAGTGGCGTCTCCTGCCCTACCAGTGCTGGCTGCAGGGACTCGAGCCAGCAGTGCGGTGTCCTGGGAGGAGGTGAGGAGCCAATCAAGACCTCCGCCATCCTGCTCATGGCCTCCAGCAACCAGGGCTGTTCGTGCTCTGTCTGCCCGCAGTGCGTCCTAAGCCCGCTGCGCGTCCCAAGCCTCCTGCCGTCCAACCTTCAGTTGCACCCAGACCCCTGATGGTTCCAAAGTCTGTAGTGACCCCAGGGCTGTGTACACGATGAAGTGTCCCTCAGGGAGAGGGCTCCCTGCTGAGTTTCTACTGCCACGGCATGCGATCCTGGGGGCTTCTCCCCCAAACAGGGCCATGCTGAGTCCCCCGCCAGCATTCGCTGCAGAGCGGAGAGCGGGACGTGGGCCCTGAACAAGGTACAAGTGCTGCCCCGCCAGGAGGTGTTCTTTTGAGCTTACAGCTGGGCCAGTGGGTGTGGATAAGGTCTCTGGCTCCTGATAGACGGGGCTGTGGTGGTTCAGAGGCTCCAGGGCCTGACATCTCCTGCCCTCACCTCTGGCTCCGGTCAGCAGTCCGCCATGTGCTGCCAACACTGCCTCAGCCTTGGGCTTTCAGGCGATGCGGCCCCTGCCCCCTCCCAGGATCCTCCGGGCTTCGCTCCTACACCAGACTGGCACCTGACCAAGGCCAAGGGCAGAGGGGCGGTGACCACAGCAGAAGCAGAGGCTCCCACACCTCTCTGGGCCTTGTCATAAAATCGGGTGCTTCTTGGAGAGCTTGAGGATCATGTGAGCTCATGTGTGTGACAACTTCCAGGGGACGCCCTGGCACAGGGCTGAGGGTCCGAAAAAGAGAAGACACACTCACGCTTTCCTGTTTTGGAGCAGGCCTTCCCTCACGCTACTTCTCTCCAGCCTGCTGGGCTGTGGCCTTTCCCCCAGGACGTTCGGGTTCTCCTTCCGCTCTGGCACAGAGCGGCACCCCGCATTGCCCCGGCCTAGGTGCCGCAGGCCTCTGTCCGGCTGCGTGGACCATGGGCATTTGGAGGAGGCCAGTGGTGTCCCTTCTTGGCTTGCAGGAGAGCAAAGCCTTGGGGTACAGAGGCGAGGAAGGTGCCCCATCCAAGGCCAGAAGCAGCGCAGCGAAGTCAGATCCCTGTGCTGTCATCCAAGCTGTGAGCCACCAGGCTGCGGTCACGGGCACGGGGTTCAGGTTCTTTTTTCTACAGGAAGCTCTGCCTTCAACCTGTTCTATGCAGACCCAGCTTGTGCACTGCCAGGTGACCTTCCCCACCTTCCCCACCCTCTCACTGAGGTCCCAGGGCGAGCTTGGACCACCCACTGCTGCTTCTGGGCCCCTGGCCCTAAGCCGTGTCAACAGCGCTTCACATTGGGTAGGGTGTTTTGTATTGTAACATTCTTGTGTTTCCTACAGTAGCACAAATCGCTTCTGTTATTTTTTTTGTTTCGTGTTGTGTTTGTTTGTTTTTTTCCAGTACCAGGTATTGAACTCACAACCTCACACTTGCCAGGCAGGCGCTGTGCCACTGAGCTAAATCCCCAGCCCCGCTTCTGTTACTTGGAAGGAAGCTCAACAGAAGTGTTTTTTTTTTAAGTTGTGTTAAATCAACCAACCAACCAACAAGTAACTACAGTCACTCGGTGCCCCAATACCCCGACACAGCTCGTCACCGGAGCACGGGGGTCAGACCCCAACAGCCTTCGTGTGTGCTGGCCCACGGGCTCTCACCTACCAGGAGCCTTCGTGATTTTATTATGATTTGTGTGTGTGTGTGTGATACTGGAGATTGAACCCACATGCTCTGCACTGAGCTGCACCCCAGCCTGCTGTATCCTTTTTTTATTTTGAGACAGGATCTTGCTAAATTGCCCAGGCTGAGATGGAACTCGCAACCCTCCTACCTCACCAGGAGCCCTTACTGAGGGTCTCCCTGAAGGCAGGCAGGTGGCCTGTGGGGACAGAGGGGTGGGGCGCCACAGCCCTGGCCAAGCCCGAGGGGCTGGTGAGTGTTAAGGGAAAGGGGGGCTGCTAGCACCCCACGAGCCTGGCATCCCTGGCTGAGAGTGGCAGGGGGTGGACGACATGGTCAGGGCCTGGCAGGGGCATCCCGAGGTGCTCAGCAGCCAGCCGTGCAGAGCAGCCGTGGAGATCAGGAGGGTCGCTTGGCGGGGTGGCTCTCACGGCACTGAGGCACACCCTGGCTGCTTCGGGCCCACAGCGAGAGGGTCACCCCAGGGGCTTCTTGCGGGCGGGGTCCTGAGTCACAGACAGGGCCACAGAGTCTTGTGCCCGCTCCCACATGTACCTGTGGGGACACAGATGGGCAGGGCGTAGGCAAGGCCGGGCCTTGAGGACCCCAAGGCAAAGGGGGCAGTCACGAATGTAGGGGAAAGGCCTCCCACGCACTCACGGGGTCCCAGCTGGCACCAGGAGGCTGTCATCAGGGGCCAGGCCCACGTGCTGTCCCCTCATGGTCACCACTGAGGAACCCTCCTGTGAAAGAAAAGGAGAGTCCAACGGCTGTCAGGCCTCCACACCCGCCTGGAGGTCCCGGGTCTGCCTCACAGGGGAGGCTGTGGGAGCTGCGGGCCCAGGAGCAGACCCATCCCCAGGGACGGGAGCTTGTGCCGCCCGATCCCAGGCCCCACGTGCCAGCTGCCACAGCCACACGTCCACGGCCTCGCCTGGACCTTTGCTGCTGCCTCGTCCATGGGCGATGACCTGATGGGAGGTAAAACAGACTTTTCTGGTGCTTCCCGCCCCACACAGGAGTGGACTTTGACCCCGGCTGGCCCCTAGACAGCAGGCTTGAGGGGGCCTGGGGTGAGGGCGGCACCACCAGGAGCAGAGACAGGGCCTGGGAGGAGGCCGCCCTGTGCACACCTGCCCCTCACGTGCACAGGGGCCCGAGGCGCCTCTCGTTGTGCCCGCCCGGGCACACGGTCTCACAGCCCCCAGCTCACCTCCCTCCCTCCCTCCCTCCCTCCCTCCCTCCCTCGGGTGTTGAAGCTGCACAGCGGGTGGGAGGGGAAGAGGCGAGGCTGTGGCTCCGGGACTGCGGGGCCCATCCCCCGCTGCCCTAGCGGACGGGGTACTGTGGGCGGGAAGTGGGAGCAGCAGGGGCAGCCGAGTGCGAGCTGGCTGTGGCTGTGACAGTTAGGGAGGGCTCGTGGTGCAAGTGTCCCTGGGACCCAGAGGCAGGGCAGGCCTGTCCCAGCGAGCAGTCCCCACCCCCGGGACCGATTCTAACTGCACCGGTTGTAGGGGAGCAAGCCAAGGCAGGTGAGCATAGTGCTCCCCTCACTCCGCCTCCTGGTCAGTCCCACGGTGCTCAGACGCGCACTCGGGCCTCTTCCCTCCCCGCTGGGTGAAGCCCCGCTGCCTCTGGGACGAGCCCTCCCCCCTTGCACAGCTCGGCGGACCCCCAGGAGGAGACCATCCCCAGGACGCAGGCGGTGCCACCCTATGGGGCCCCACAGACCTGGGCCTGCCTGCCGGCGCCCCGCAATTACCAATCCAGCTCGCGTCTGCCCCACCCTGGTCTTACCAGTCCCAGCAGCCTGCAGTGCGAGGCTGACCCAGCGGCCTCCGTGCTCCCCGCCCAGAATGCCCTCCACCTTCCTCTCTTCCTTTTGCAAACTCCCACGCGGACTTTACAGCACTCCTTGTGCTCACCTCCTCCTCCGGGCAACCTTCCTTGACTTCTCTCCCAGCCAGGATTTGAGATCGGTTCTCAGTTCCTGGGGTCGCTGGGGACACCCTGAGCGGCCCAGGGCTGCATTACCTGGGTCTCATAGGTGTCCCCAAATAGGCTGAGAGATGTGCCCTCCTGTAGCTCTCTGCGGTGACCATCCAGCCAGGCCTCCAGGGACATGGGCTCCATGACCGAGCGCGTGCTCAGAGGGAACGGCGGCTCCTTGGGCAGCTGGTCTGCACCATGCACAGCTAGGTCAGTGTCCTCGGCACTCAGCCCGCCCAGTCCCACAGGGCTCAGATTCCCACACTCAACTGCCAGCTCCATGACCAAGCAGGGTACTGTCTTAATACCCTGGGTACTGGGCAGAGTGCTCCAAGAGCTCTTCCGGGGCCCGATACAGACCCATCTCACTGTGTATGTCGGGGGGAGGGGGTTGCCATGGCCTCACCAGGGCTGGGCTTTCCTGTCCTGTACTGCTCTGAGCGGAAGAACCTGCAGGGACAGACCCGTGCTTGAGACTCATGCACTCCCACTCTTCCCCTCCCAGCCCTGTGGGAGCCCCTCCTCTGCCCCACCCCAAGGGGGAGACTTCCCCCAGGTTGCAGCCCCTAGGGTGCTGCTACAGAGCCTCAGGGCAGGGAGGGACATGCACCAGGCCCGGGCTCACTCTTGGATGATGGGGGCCAGCTGCGTGCCAAGGTCCTTGCAGTGGAACCACTTCTCATACAGGATGTCCACGGTGTCCCCCACGTAGTACCTGCGAAGCAGAGGTTACCGCTTGTGTCTAGATGTCCCCCCAAAGCCTCATGCGGTCACAGGGGGAGACTTTCGGAGGTGCCTGGATCTAGGGTGTGTGATGCAGGGATTAAGGATGCGATGCTGGGATTAAGGGTGCCCCACCCTGCAGGTGAGCGCTAGGTTGGGCAGCCTGGATGGAACGTAAGGGACAGAAAAAGGGTGGTTTTTATTGCTTGCTGTTTGCTGCCTTGTTGCCTTCTGCCTCCCCTGCTTTGAACTGAACTGTTGTCTGAACTGTTTCTCCTCTACGATGCCCCTCTGCCAGGCCGCCCTGCCTTGGAGCCAGCTGAGTATGGACTGAACCTCTGTAAACTGTGAGCTCAATAAACCTTTCCTCCTTTAACTTTGGGTGTTGGGTATGTTGTCTCAGCAATGAGATAAGCAACTACGACAGCAGAGGTTCCCCATCTGCGCTTCAGTGCAGCCCCACTCAGGCCTGGCTTTGCTTGTGGGTGTCTGGGCCCTGGCACTGAAGAACCTGGTGCCTGTTTTCCCTCCTCTGGTGCAGCCCAGTGTTTGATTTTCCCACACACCTTTTCCAAAGCCCACCTGTGCCCCTTCACAGAGCCGAGAGGACTCCGAGGCTCAGGGACGCTGGGCGCCGTGGCAGGGATTACACAGGCCCTCACGGCCAAAGCAGGCCGGACTGAAGACAGTCTTAGGAGTTTAGACAGCATCCGAGCCAAGTGTGTTCTTCCAAGAGGAAGCTGAGGTTGAGCCTGAATCAGGACTGGTGGCTGGCCGCTCTCAGAGTAACCAACTCCAGCAGCCAGCATGCGGGATGTCCCCAGCGAGGGTGTCTTCTCTCAGGTCCTGATTGCCCTTGAGAACTGGAGCAAAGCCCTGGGCCCCTTTGTGAGGTGGGCCTGTGTGTACACATACTGCCTTCAGCAGGCCACCGGAGCCTCACCGGGGCAGTGCCCTCGCCCTTGGCCTGAGGAGCCCCTGTGCCTGGCAGGTGTCAGGAGCTTCAGTCAGCTGACTCCCAGGGCCCAGTTCTGCCTGCTCTTTAGCCCTCAAGGAAGAGAAGCTGTCCTGCCAAGGGACTCCGTTTACAGACATGTGGCATACACCCACCTGGCGCCCTGAGTTCGCTCTGATGATGGAGCTGGCTACTAGGAGGCTTCATAATGGGATTGCAGGGCCCTCTGGGAATTGCTGCTGGAGTGGTATTTTAATGTTGAGTTCTGGCTTTTATTAAAGGTCAAAGCAGCCAGATAAATCCATTATTGAATTTGCTGTAAAATGTTATTGAGGCCACTGTCCTCACATCACTGGAAGCTGCCTCTATAAAGCCCTTTTGCTTGGAGAAATTCCTCTTAAACTTCAAGGCCTGGTATCTGTCTCTATAAGAGGCTAAGAGCAGATTACTATGCAGTAGACTATTATGCAGCCATTAACGCTGTGTGGTTGTTTTATTTTTTGGTGGTGCTGGGGATTGAACCCAGGGAGTGCTCAGCTACATCAGCAGCCCCTTTTTGAGACAAGGACTCATTAAGTTGCCCAAGTTGGCCTTGAATTTGTCATCTTCCTGCCTCAGCCTCCCATGTACCCAGGATTATAAGCCCAGCAACATTTTATTTTTAAAATTTAGTAACATGAGAATTATTCACGAGTTTTTTAAAATTAAGAAACAAATAAAAAAATAAAATTAAGAAGCAAAACTCACCCTCATGTACATAGTAACAAGGCTGCAATGTTGTCAGGTATAGACATGCATAGAAAAAACCAAGATGGAAGTCTAGGTGCTTCTTTAGGTTTCCCTTAGGCTTCTCTTGTTTTCCCTTTTTTATTATTCTTGTTTTCTTGAGATATAATTCACATACCATGAAATTTGCCCTTTTTTATTGTAAGTAATTTTAATTTCATTCATTTTGCATTTCTGTACCTTTCCAGATTTTGAAAGTGAATGTGGATGACTTTGGTCATTTTAAAAAAAGAAGATTTAAAATTGTCCCTTGTAAGCCAGGCAGGGTGCTGCATACCTGTAATCCCAGCACTCAGGAGGCTGAGGCAGGAGGATCATTGTGAGTTGGAGACCAGCCTGGGCTACAAAGTAAGCTCAAGGCCAGCCTGAACTGCATAGTGAGACCCTGTCTCAAAAAGGAAAAAAATGTCCATTGTAACAGAAGATGAGGGCTAAAGAATTCTGATTCCAGTAACTTGATGAGAAACTTTAAAAAAAACGTTAAGGGGCTGGGGATTTAGCTCAGCAGCACAGCGCCTGCCTGGCAAGCACAAGGTCGTGAGTTCGATTCCCAGTACCGGAAACCACCCCCCCGAAAAAAAAAATTTAAAACTCTTCATCTTCAGCTAGATCTTTGGTCCCCTGACCTTCAGGGGTCTCCTTGGTTCGGAGGCTGACGGTCAGGGGCACGGCTCTGGAGTCAGGGTGCACCCTGGGCCTGTGTCCTTCCCCTTCGTGGTGCTGACTCTATGCCTGGCTCTGCGGCCTGGACCCAGCTTCTCCTTTCTCTACACAGAGGAGCTATGGTAGCAAGCTCCACGCTGGCAAACTCATCTCCCTGCGTGAGTTTCTTCTCCAGTAAAGTACGGACACTATGGTACCTACCCTGGGCCCATGGGCGCACTCAGTGGATAAATACACACAAAGGCCCCCGGCCAGGCACCTGGCCCGCAGCAAGTGTCAGCCCCATGTCTGGGGCAGAGACACAGCCAGAGAGGCCCTGGCAGAACTGATCCCTGGAGGCCGAGGCAGGAGGGCGCAGCCGTGTTTTGGCTGGGTGGGTCCCCCTGGGTCCTCCTTCCCTCCCAGCAGACCTCATGAGAAAGCAGAGGTTCTGACTCAGGCTGTGAGAGCTCCCTTGCTCCCTGTCCACCGTGCCCTGTCAGCCAGCAGACACATGCAGGCTCTCCCCAGCACCCTGCCTCCACGCCCTCCGCTCTCCGTGGCCGGGAAGTGCTTTCTTGAGTCTGCCTAGGATTCTCTCTGCTGTGGTTTGGAGATGCACCCCTCTGCCCACCCCTGACTCCAGGGACAGAAGTTACCTGAGCCCATCCAGCTCTGTCTCTAGCCGCGTCCGCTCAATCACCAGTCCCATGGTGTTGGCAAACCTCTGTGGGGAGTGCGGCACCCTGGCTGGCAGCAGGAATATCTACAGGGGGAGAGCAGGGGCCCACAGGGCTGCGACCCCTTACAGGGACCTCAGGGCCTGCAGCACCCGGGCACCGCTGCTGACCCACAGGCACCAGGGACCACCCCCGCCCTCTCTGGGCCTGCTCTCTGCCAGCCTCTTGCCCTGCTGGGAATGTCACACGGTGCTAAGGACAGGGTGGGGCAGTCATGCACAGGAAAGGGACAGAGAGGGGCAGGGCCTTGGTCAAGGGGTAGCAGCAGGGCGAGTTCTTTGCTGCCCGCCGCTGGGTCCACCTCACCTCTCCCTGCCGAATGACCACATCCCGGTGCTTCCCTTGCTCCAGGACGCGGAGAACCATGTTCCCTTCCAGCTGGTAAAACACCTGTGGAGCAGCAAAGAGCCTGGGACTCTTCCTCTTCCCTCTTCCATGTCCTTAGCCACCACCAGGCCTTGGGTTCTGACCAGAACCTGAGGCACTTCCCAAAGGCCGTCTCTCTCCCCTGAGGCCTCACTCCCCTGACCCAGGAGACAGACAGGAGGGCTAGGGTCACATAGGGACCACGTCTCAAACAAGCAGGGAATGGTGCAAATACCCAGCCTGCAGCAGCAGGTTCAGGGCACAGAGCAGGAGACTGAGGGAGAAGCGCACCGGAGAATTCCAGGGTACGGAATTCCCGTATACTGTGGGTCAAGGGCTGTCCCAAGTACTTTTCTGTACATTATCAGAAATCTTTATGGGCAGATGGGGTGGCCTATGCCTGTAATTCCAGAACAATGTGAGACTGAGGCAGGAGGATTCCAAATTCAAACCCTGCCCGGGCAATTTAGCGACTAAGCGAGAACTTGTCTCAAAATTTAAAAAAAGAGTTGTAGCTCAGTTCACTTCCCAGTACTGAAAAACAAAACAAAAAAACTTTACAGCTATCTCCAAGGGTAGCCAATACTGCAGGAAAAAAAAAAGTTGAGGCCCAGAGGGTAAAGCATCTTGGCCAAGGTCATGGGCTGCTTCACCCCGGAGCTGCAGCTGGGGCAGGAGCCTGTGTGTGGCTCTGGGGCCTGTGTTAGCTCCTCTGGCCCCTGAGGTGCCCGGGCGTGGGGCGCTGTGGAGGTCAGAGCCGGGGGTGGGTGGGGGCTGTGCTCCCTCTGGGGCTCCTTCCCACATCTGTCCTCTTCCATCCTACGTCCCCATTACCCCCATTAGTGTATTAATGAGATCACCCCATGAAGGAGGAGGAGGGGAAGGCGGTGGGCGGGGAGAGAGGCCCGGCTTTCCCTCCCCTGGTTACATGTTGCACAGGCATTAAAGCTGCAGTTGAGGGCTGGGGATTTAGCTCAGCGGCATAAACGCCTGCCTGGCAAGCGCAAGGTCCTGAGTTCAATTCCCGATACCACAGGAAAAAAACAAACAAACAAAAAAAGCTGCAGTCGAATGGTCAAAGGTCTTTTAACAATAATAATAATAATTATTATTATTATCATGTGAGGGATTAGAAGAGGTAAAGGCTCCAGTCGCATCGAAGAGAGACGCGGGGAGCACGAGAAAGCGGAGAAGCACAACCCTGCAGCCTGCCACGGGCTCAAAGCGACCCTCACACACTCGCACTTCACACCCGTAGCCCTGGGACCCAGTCATCCACCTCCAGAACGCGGCGCAAGGCCTTGAAAAGGGCGCCCCCTGGTGCTGCGTATTCACATTCCAGGTCAGACAACCTGGCCCTCTGCTCTGCGGACCGCTGTGGGCCCTTGGTCAGCTCGGTTAGCCTTTCTGTGCCTCAGTTTCCCCATCCACAACATGACAGAATCGACTCACAGCCCTGCTGTGAAGCCTGCCCAGCAATCTGTACACACAGCTACTCAGCACATAGCACAAGCACTGGGTAGACCTCAGTCAGCATCAGCGATGGCAGGAATTGCAAAAACAAGGCTAAAAATATTAAAACTAAAAATAATAGGGGAAATTTAAGTATTTGATGGGAGATTCAAAATATGAGATTCTATGCAGCCATTCAAAACTTTGCCTTTGTCAGACATGGTGGCACATACCTATAGTCCCAGCACTCCAAGAGGCTGAGGCAGGAGGATCTCAAGTTCAAGCTCAACCTGGGCAATTTAGCAACTTAGTGAGACTCTGTCTAAACTTTTAGAAAAGGGCCGGAGATGTAGTTCAGTGTAAAGTCCCCGGGCTCAATGCCCAGTACCACCAAAACCAAACTAAACCTGTACCTCTGAATAACTACCAATAAAAATGGAAAAATGTTATCGTTATGCGGTTGGTGTAGTGCTAATGCCTGGCATAGGTACTGTGCTCACAGAGGCTCTGCCTGAGTGGTGAGGTTATAAATGAGGTAAGCATTTTTTGTTCTACATTTCTCATGTTTTCTACAATAAAACATATTTACTTCCATTATTATACATACGGCAAGAAAAAACCCCCAGAGTCGGATGTAGTGGCACACACCTGTAATCCCAGCACTCAGGAGGCTGAGGCAGAAGGATCGTTGTGAGTTCAAGACTAGCCTGGGCTACAAAGTGAGCTCAAGGCCAGCCTGAACCACATAGCAAGACCCTGTCTCAAAGAGACCAAAAAACAACAAGAGCAAAAAAAAAACTCTACCCACAGTTCCCTTAGAAGGAGCCACTGAACATGCCCATCCTCCTCCCCAAGCTGTGAGGAAACCTGTGTTTGTGTGTATGAGTGTGTGTGTGTGTTGTGTGTTCGTATGTGTCAAGAGAGAGGGGTCCCAGAGTTCTGGGGAAAAGGGGCATCTGCAGTGATGTCTGGGCCAGATTCAAACCCTCTCTAGACAGGCTATAGGGTATTAGTGGCCGTGGAAAAAAACAAGAAGGCTTTGGAACTGTCCCATATGGTCCCTACCAGAGGCCTTCCAGGTGATGAGGGCCAGGCCTGGCCTGGAGCAGAAGGCAGATCACCGAGGGCAGCGCGAAAGGTATGAAACTGCTGAAGTACACAACGTTCAGAGGCCTGTGGAGAGGCGGGAGGTCAGCGGTACCACGCCCTCCAGCGGGGATGAGCTATAGAGTCCGGCTTGGGGGCCCGGGAAGGCTCTAGGCAGTCAGATGGAGAGGAAGTGCGAGGGGAGTGAGGGACCAGGCCCACCGAGCACCCGGCATGGCCACGGTCCCATGGGCAGCTTGGAAAGGTTCGGAGAAGGCACACACTCCATCTGTCCGGGATGGCATGGCTTGTGAGTGGTCGTCTGCCCCGAAAGAAGGAGGGGGCTCAGTGGGCTCAGAGCGGTGGCTGGTGGCACTGGGATTCCTCCAGGGAAAGGAGCGGGACCCTGGCGGGGCTGTCACAAAG